GTGTGGTTTGGAGGATAAAGCGGTTGACCACGGAGACGGAGAGCTAAACGCCGTAGAGTTCATCTCCGGTTAACCCGCTTGTATTCACTCATTAAACTGAGTGGCGGGTAGATATGAAGGCTCGATGATAGTGAAAACTCTCTATACTTGGCGCGGATCCCAACGCTACGCTTGTATAGTCTCCACGGAATGCCTCTATGCGACTGGAAATCAAGATATTTAGTGTGTCAGATAGGGAGACTTGACAGGCAGCAAACGGTGCTGATTCTGAATCCCGATTGACAGTGAGATAAATAAATTGCCAGGTATAAGGAGTGGCATCGGTAGGGGTGAAGGGATAGTTGCTGTAGAGGGCCAAGAACGACCTTTCAGATGATGGGTCCCGGGGGGAAGCTGTACGCGTCTTGTCATTCCTCGCTCGCGTTGATTTACTTTTGTACTTTGGAAAGTAACAGTTACTCTAGCTTGTGCTTTCTTGGGATTGCCCACTATCTACGCTTGGAAAGGCAAACCTTTCAGGCTGATCCTCCGCAACACTCTCCCCGGTAAGGAAGTCTGCTACTGCTTTCGCGACAATCCGGTGTACTGCAGTTGTGGGGTGGATGGCGTCCCAATACATCTCCTGATCGAATCCCCGTCCAGCCTTTTCACTAAAACCGTACTTGGTTGGATCTGTCAGCATCTGCTCAAAGACGTTCCATGCATCAAATATAAAGATAGACGCGTCAGGATGAGCTTCCGCAAAGTCGCTTCGTGCCCGAGTTGTCAACGTTTCGTTCCAAATCCGGCAGCGTTTTTCTCGCTCCCGCATCCGGCCTTGAAGGGGGAACACAAGAATTTTGAGCTCAAACAACTGAGGAGAAGCCAAAAAGAGAGAAACAAGGTCTCTTACTTCGCTGGCCACCGGATGCGTTTGGCAAAGGTGCCGTCGTCATATACAGAAAATTTCGAGCTCCGGTCTCGTAAAGTTCCTCTTGAAGTTGAAATATGATATCTATCGCGGCTTGTATGTCTGAATCGATGGGAGGTGAGAAGGGGCTCAGTGAATGATTCGCGGGGCCTCGTGAACGGTACCCGCACTTAAAGAGGGCATCACAATGTCGTTGAACCCTATCCAAGTCACTTTGGGAGAAAAATATTAATTAAATGTCCAGAAATATTAGAAAAGTATGAAGGACCAACCGAATAAAGAGTTATCGCCTTGCCAGCACGCGTTAGAGTCGGGGTGGCCGGGACTTCCGGGCTGCCGATACCGTTTGACTTGACGCTCCAAACCTTTGATATTATCACCACCGACGGCATAGTCGTAGACTAGCGGAGGGGTCTGAGGATAATATTTGTTAATGAGATGACCGACCTTGGCACGAAAAAGTCTCAACGGTCGGGCGTGATCAAAATCAGCGGTCACACAACCCAGCCAATTGGGCTTCTTATCTTCGACCCATGTATCGCCAGGAAATTTTACTCCTAGTGGGGTTTCTTCGCTGGGTTTGTCGTAGGGTTGATAGCCAACGGCGCTATAAGAATCTCCACTGCAGACCCAGGATAAATTAGATCCCTGACCGCCGCATCAGCCTGCCTATGTAGCTCAGTGGCTTACAATACGAAAATACATCTCAGCA